AGAATCCCCTCTCTGGACCTGCTGGCAACGCAGCTTTTGATGCAGCCCAGGATGGGATTGGCCTTCTGGGCTGCAAGTGCCCACTGCCTGCTCATGTCCAGCTTCTCCTCCACCAGCACCACTTTCCTCAGGGCTGCTTTCCAATCCTTCACCCCCCAGTTTGTATTGGTGGCGAGGATTGTTCCAGCCCAGGTGCAGAACCTTGCATTTGCTCTTGTTGAACCTCATGAGGTTCACCTGGGCCCACCTTTCCAGCCTGTCCAGGTCCTTTTGGATGACATCCCATCCCTCTGGTGTATCGACAACACCACACAGCTTGGTATCGTCCGCAAACTTGGCAGATGAAGCCGTTGGAAGTGCTTTTGGAGATGAAAATGGGTTGTGTTTTGGGTTTTTTTTTAATTTTTTGGGTTTTTTTCCTGTGTGTCTGACAGCCTGTGAGACCCAGCTCCCCGTTTCCTTCCGCCACCTCATCCTCCCGGAGAAATACCCTCCTCCCACCGAGCTGCTGGACCTGCAGCCCCTGCCCGTCTCTGCTCTGCGGAACAGCGCCTTCGAGAGCCTCTACCAGGACAAATTCCCTTTCTTCAACCCAATCCAGACCCAGGGTGGGTATCACCTCTGCTCTCCTCCTCCAAACCCCCTCTCGGCGAGCCCTTTTGGTGCTCCCAGTCCCATAAACCTGTTTTTTTGGGGGTTTATTCACACAATTTGCTTAAGGAAGTGCATTATGCCTCTCCTCCACCTCCCTGAGCCCGAGAAGTGTGAGGGCTTGAAGTCTTTCTCCATGGGCCAGAAGATCTTTGATCTGTTCCTCACGTACATCAAAGGCTCTGGGGCTGTCTGGGAGCAACAGGTTTGCTCCTGGAAGCTGTGTCTGTGCTGATTCAAGGAGCCAGAATTAGAAAATTCACACTTCTGAGCTACTATGACACACTCGAGCCTGTTTTTTTGAGTAAATCGTGGGCTAAAACTCTTAAACTGCCTTTTTTTTGGTTTTTTTGGTAACTCCTCCTCACACGCTTTGGGTCCAGGCTGTGTTTTCCCTGCCCCGTTTCTAGAGCTTTGTTGGAAATCCCTGGAGATTTTGCTAAACCTCTCCCTTGTGTGTTTGCCTTCTCCCCCCAGTCTTTAACACGGTTTATAACAGCGACGACAACGTCTTCGTGGGGGCCCCCACGGGCAGCGGGAAGACCATCTGCGCCGAGTTTGCCATCCTGAGGATGTTGCTGCAGAACTCGGAGGGTCGCTGCGTCTACATCACCCCCATGGAGGCCCTGGCAGAGCAGGTGAACCCAGCACCTTAGAATCATAGAGTCATAGACCTGTTTGGGTTGGAAGGGACTTTTAAGGTCATCCAGTCCAACCATCAACTCAACTCTGATGAAAACCATCACTAACCCATGTCTCTAAGCACTAGGTCAACCCGGCTTTTAAATCCCTCCAGGGATGGTGACTCCACCACTGCCCTGGGCAGCCCATTCCAAGGCTTCACAACAGGCTCCTGTTCAGCCAACAGTTGACCAACACCCCAGGTCCTTTTCTGCTCCAGCCACTCTGCCCCCAGCCTGGAGCATTGCCCAGGGTTGGTGGGACCCAAGTGCAGGATCTGGCACTTGGCCTTGTTGAACCTCATCCCGTTGGCCTCCCTCCATCCAGCCTGTCCAGCTCCCTCTGCAAAGCCTTCCTACCCTCCAGCAGGTTGACACTCCCACCCAACTTGGTGTCATCTGCAAACTGACTGAGGGTGCACTCCATCCCCTCGTCCAGATCATTGATAATGATGTTGATAATAATGATAATGACGTGGGGGGGTTGGACTTGATGATCTCCAGAGGTCCCTTCCAACCCCATATGATTCTATGATTTTTATTTTTTTATTCTATGTTAAAGAGAACCGGCCCCAACACCCAGCCCTGAGGGACACCACTGGTGACCACCCACCAGCTGGATTTAACTCCATTCACCTTGGGGAGATCTAAGCCTTACTTTCTCTTAGATTTCCTTCCTCACCCCCTCTTTCACTTCTCCTGCTTGTTTTCAAGGATTCAGTAGGATTTTAAGAGGTTTTTTTGAGGTTAACAACAGCATCCCTTGCCTTTTTTGGCAGGTTTTCATGGACTGGTACGAGAAATTCCAGGAACGTCTCAATAAGAAGGTGGTTTTGCTGACGGGGGAGACCAGCACCGACCTGAAGCTGTTGGGCAAAGGGAACATCATCATCAGCACCCCTGAGAAATGGGACATCCTCTCACGACGTTGGAAACAACGCAAGAACGTCCAGAACGTCAACCTCTTCATCGTGGACGAAGTGCATCTCATCGGGGGCGAAAACGGGGTACGTCTGGCCAGGGGAGGAGGGTGCTGCTAATTAGTGATGCTCATTATCACACTAATCTGAGGAGTAGGAGCCACTTTGGGGTGCTCACTCCCAATATCTGGTCTAAAGTCAGCTTTTCCTGCCGGGATTTTCCCCGAAATGGAAATAGGAGGGTTGTATCCATGGGGAAGGTTGGGAGTATTCCTTGGATGAAGGTGTTTGGGATGGAGCAGCTGGAGCTCAGCCAGGAGAGGTGGCTTCTTTCCTGCTCTGATCTGTCTTTTCTCCCACCTGCAGCCCGTGCTGGAGGTCATCTGCTCCCGCATGCGCTACATCTCCTCCCAAATCGAGCGTCCCATCCGCATCGTGGCCCTCAGCTCCTCCCTCTCCAACGCCAAGGACGTTGCTCACTGGCTGGGCTGTAGTGCCACCTCCACCTTCAACTTCCACCCCAACGTCCGCCCCGTGCCCTTGGAGCTCCACATTCAGGTAGGGTTTGGGGCAACCTCAGCTCTTTCCCCTTCCCCCTCGCTCTTCCCTGAGCGGCGTCACCGCCTTCTCCTCTTCCTCTGCAGGGCTTCAACATCAGCCACACGCAGACCCGCCTGCTCTCCATGGCCAAGCCCGTCTACCACGCCATCATGAAGCATTCCCCCAAGAAGCCCGTCATCGTTTTCGTCCCGTCCCGCAAGCAGACGCGGCTCACGGCCATCAACATCCTCACCACCTGCGCCTCGGACGTCCAGAGACAAAGGTCTGAGTCCCTCCTCCAATTGAGGCAGAAGCAAGATTTTCTTGATGGTTTTGCTGGGTTTGAGGGACAACTTCTGATGGGAAACGGTCTCTGCTCTGCCCTGGGGAGGCCCCAGCTGGAGCACTGGGACCAGTTGTGGGCTGCCCAGTTCCAGAAGGACAGGGAACTGCTGGAGAGGGGACAGCAGAGGCTACAGAGATGATGAAGGGCCTAGAACATCTCCATGATGAAGAAAGGCTGAGGGACTTGGGGCTTTTTAGTCTGGAGAAGAGAAAGCTGAGGGGGGATCTGATCCATGCCCATAAATACTTCCAGGGTGGGTGTCAGGAGGATGGGGCTGGTCTTTTTCCAGTGGTGCCCAGGGACAGGACAAGAGGAAATGGGCACAAACTTGAACATGAGAAGTTCCATCTCAACATGAGGAGGAACTTCTTGACTTTGAGGGTGGCAGAGCCCTGGCAGAGGCTGCCCAGGGAGGTGGTGGAGTCTCCTTCTCTGGAGACATTCAAACCCCACCTGGACACGTTCCTGTGGGACCTGCTCTGGGTGCCCCTGCTCTGGCAGGGGGTTGGACTAGATGATCTCCAGAGGTCCCTTCCCACCCCATATCATCCTGTGATTCTTTGATGTGACATTAGAGGGATGGTCTTGCTGGGCCTTGAGGGGGGTTTCTTCACTCCCCGTCGTCTCTCCGGCAGGTTCCTGCACTGCGCCGAGAAGGACCTGGTTCCCTACCTGGACAAGCTCAACGACAACACTCTGAAGGAAACTCTGGTGAACGGGGTGGGCTACCTGCACGAGGGGCTGACAGCCATGGAGCGGCGTGTGGTGGAGCAGCTTTTCAGCTCAGGTGAGCCCGGTGGGACGGGGACATCAACCCCTCAACCCCTTTCCCTGGAGCTTGGCAGTGCCCATGGTCTCCGGGCTGGAGAGAACGGCTCGGCCAGATGTCACTTCTCTGCCACCTGGGGCCAAAACAGCTGCAATTTTAAACTTCACCATCTCTCCTGGACCTCCTCGTCTGAGGAGACCCGTCTGGGAGGACACAGAACCCCCAGAGCCTTCTCTTTCTTCTCCTCAGTCCTTCTCCTTCTCCCCTCCCCAAGATCCTTCTTCTCCTCCTTCTCCCTCTCAGATCCTTCCCCCCCGGATCCTTCTCCTTCTCCCCCCAGCCTGATCCTTCTCCATTTCTTCCCCACTCCAAGATCCTTCTCCATTTCCTTCCTCCCCCGAGACCCTTCTCCATTTCCTTTCCCCCCCGAGATCCTTCTCCATTTCCTTTCCACCCCTGTTCTCCATTTCCTTCCTCCCCCGAGACCGAGGTCCTTCTCCATCTCCTTCCACCCCTGAGGTCCTTCTCCATCTCCTTCCTCCCCTGAGGTCCTTCTCCATTTCCTTCCTCCCCTGAGACCCTTCTCCATTTCCTTCCTCCCCTGAGACCCTTCTCCATTTCCTTCCTCCCCCGAGATCCTTCTCCATTTCCTTCTTCCCCTGAGACCCTTCTCCGTTTCTCCCCCAGATCCTTCTCCGTTTCTCCCCCAGATCCTTCTCCGTTTCTCCCCCAGATCCTTCTCCGTTTCTCCCCCAGATCCTTCTCCGTTTCTCCCCCAGATCCTTCTCCGTTTCTCCCCCAGATCCTTCTCCGTTTCTCCCCCAGATCCTTCTCCATTTCCTTTCCCCCCAAGATCCTTCTCCATTTCCTTCCTCCCCCCAGATCCTTCTCCATTTCCTTCCTCCCTCGACATCCTTCTCCATTTCCTTCCACCCCCGAGATCCTTCTTCTTCTCCTTCACCCCCCAAGATCCTTCTCCATCTCTTTCCCCCCGAGATCCTTCTCCATTCCCCCCCGAGATCCTTCTCCATTTCCCCCCGAGATCCTTCTCCCCCTTCTCCATTTCCTTCCCCCCACTGAGATCCTTCTCCATTTCCTTCCTCCCTCAAGATCCTTCTCCATTCCCCCCCCAGATCCTTCTCCATTTCCTTCCGCCCCCCATCCTTCTTCTTCTCCTTCACCCCCCAAGATCCTTCTCCATCTCTTTCCCCCCGAGATCCTTCTCCATTTCCCCCCGAGATCCTTCTCCATTTCCCCCCGAGATCCTTCTCCATTTCCCCCTCGAGATCCTTCCCCATTTCCTTCTTCCCTCGAGATCCTTCTCCATTTCCTTCCCCACTTCGAGATCCTTCTCCATTTCCCCTCCAGATCCTTCTCCATTTCCTTCCTCCCCCGAGACCCTTCTCCATTTCCTTCTTCCCCTAAGACCTTTCTCCATTTCCTTTCCCCCCCAAGACCCTTCTCCATTTCCCCCTTGAGATCCTTCTCCATTTCCTTCCTCCCTTGAGATCCTTCTCCATTTCCTTCCTCCCCCCAAGACCCTTCTCCATTTCCTTGCCCCCCCAAGATCCTTCTCCATGTCCTTCCCTCTCCCCCAGAACCTTCTCCTTCCCCCCAACCCCCACCAGATCCTTCTCCCTCTCCCCCCAGTCCCGGTGCCCCCCAGAGGTGCCGACCGCTCTCCCCGGGCACGTTTCAGGTGCGGTTCAGGTGATGGTGGCCTCCCGTAGCCTCTGCTGGGGCATGAACATCGCTGCTCACCTGGTGATCATCATGGACACGCAGTACTACAACGGCAAGATCCACGCGTGAGTGCACCGGGGCCTCCCTTTGAGGGGTCTGGAGAATAAGTCTTGTGAGGAGAGGCTGAGGGAGCTGGGGTTATTCAGCCTGGAGAAGAGGAGGCTGAGGGGAGACCTTATTGCTCTCTCCAACTCCCTGAAAGGAGGGTGTAGAGAGGTGGGGGTCGGTCTCTTCTCTCAAGTCACAGGTGACAGGACAAGAGGAAATGGCCTCAAGTTGCCCCAGGGGAGGTTCAGGCTGGATATTAGGAACAATTTTTTCACTGAAAGGGTTCTCAGCCCTTGGAATGGGCTGCCCAGGGAGGGGGTTGAGGCCCCATCCCTGGAGGTGTTCAAAAGCCGGGTTGATGTAGTGCTGGGAGGTCTGGTTTAGTGATGATGCTCCTTGTTTGTTGTGTGGGTGTCTATTTTTGTCAGTGAGGTTGACGGTTGGACAAGATGATCTTGAAGGTCCCTTCCAACCTAGAAGATTCTGTGTGATTCTGTAATCCCTGGGGCTCCATCCTCCTCCTCCTGAGCACGAGGGAACAACCTCATCCCAAAGGGAACCCATCCCAGTCCAGGCAGAGACTGGGAACGACTGGAGAGCGGTGGTGGCTCTCCGTGGAGCTTGGGTAACTCTTCTCTCCATCGCAGGTACGTGGATTACCCCATCTATGATGTCCTGCAGATGGTGGGCCACGCCAACCGCCCGCTGCAGGACGACGAGGGCCGTTGTGTCATCATGTGCCAGGGATCCCATCCCAAAGGAACCCATCCCAGTCCAGGCAGAGACTGGGAATGACTGGAGAGAGGTGGTGGCTCTCCGTGGAGCTTGGGTAACTCTTCTCTCCATCGCAGGTACGTGGATTACCCCATCTATGATGTCCTGCAGATGGTGGGCCACGCCAACCGCCCGCTGCAGGACGACGAGGGCCGTTGTGTCATCATGTGCCAGGGATCCAAGAAGGTGGGTGAGGAACGGGGCACCCCTTCTCACCCTGAGAGGGTCCATCTCCTGCCCGGGGCATGGATTTCTCCCAGCTTTGGGCAGGCAACCCCCACTCAGGGCCCTGCTGCCTGGGGAGGCTCCAGGATTTTGGGAGGAGGCTCCAGGATTTTGGGAGGAGGCTCCAGGATTTTGGGAGGAGGCTTCAGGATTTGGGAGGAGGCTACAGGATTTGGGAGGAGGCTTCAGGATTTGGGAGGAGGCTCTAGGATTGTGGGAGGGGACTCCAAGTTTTCTTGGAGAGGCTCCAGGATTTTTTGGAGAGGGCTTTGGGATTGTGGAGGTGGGGTCCAGGATTGTTGGGAGGAGCTCCAGGATTTGGGATGACTCCAGGATTTTTGGAGGGGGCTTTGGGATTTGGGAGGGGGCTTCGAGAATTTAGGAGGAGGCTTCAGGATTTTGGGAGGGGGCTCTCGGATTTTTGGAAGATGCTCCAGGATTTTTGGAGGATGCTCCAGGATTGTGGGAGGGGGATCTGAGTTTTCTTGGAGAGGCTCCAGGATTTTTGGGAGGGGGCTCCGGGATTGTGGAGGAGGGCTCCAGGATTGTTGGGAGGGGTCTCCAGGATTGTTGGGAGGGGTCTCCAGGATTGTTGGGAGGGGGCTTTGAGATTTGGGAGGGGGCTTTGAGATTTAGGAGGAGGCTTCAGGATTTGGAGGATTTTTGGAGGATGCTCTAGGATTTTTGGGGGGAGCTCCAGAATTTTTGGAGGGGGCTCTAGGATTGTGGGAGGGGGCTCCGAGTTCTCTTGGAGAGGCTCCAGGATTTTTTGGAAGGGGCTCTAGTGTTTTTGGAGGGGGCTCTGGGATTGTTGGGAGGGGTCTTCAGGATTTTTGGGAGGGGCTCTAGGATTTTTGGAGGGGGCTCTAGGATTTTTGGAGGACGCTCCAGGATTGTGGGAGGGGGCTCCGAGTTTTCTTGGAGAGGCTCCAGGATTTTGGGGAGAGGGCTCTAGTGTTTTTGGAGGGGTCTTCGGGATTGTTGGGAGGGGGCTTCAGGATTTTGGGAGGGAGCTCTAGGATTTTTGGAGGGAGCTCCAGGATTTTTGGAGGGGGCTCTGAGGTTTCTTGGAGGAGGCTCTAGGGTTTTTGGAGGGAGCTCCAGGATTGTGGGAGGGGGCTCCGAGTTTTCTTGGAGAGGCTCCAGGATTTTGGGGAGAGGGCTCTAGTGTTTTTGGAGGGGGCTTCGGGATTGTTGGGAGGGGGCTTCAGGATTTTGGGAGGGAGCTCTAGGACTTTTGGAGGGAGCTCCAGGATTGTGGGAGGGGGCTCCGAGTTTTCTTGGAGAGGCTCCAGGATTTTGGGGAGAGGGCTCTAGTGTTTTTGGAGGGGGCTTCGGGATTGTTGGGAGGGGGCTTCAGGATTTTGGGAGGGAGCTCTAGGACTTTTGGAGGGAGCTCCAGGATTGTGGGAGGGGGCTCCGAGTTTTCTTGGAGAGGCTCCAGGATTTTGGGGAGAGGGCTCTAGTGTTTTTGGAGGGGGCTTCGGGATTGTTGGGAGGGGGCTTCAGGATTTTGGGAGGGAGCTCTAGGATTTTTGGAGGGAGCTCCAGGATTTTTGGGAGGGGCTCCAAGTTTTCTTGGAGGGGGCTCTAGAATTTTTGGAGGACACTCTAGGATTGTGGGAGGGGGCTCTGAGTTTTCTTGGAGAGGCTCCAGGATTGTTGGGAGGGGCTCCAGGATTTGGGGCGACTCCAGCATTTTTAGAGGGGCTCTGAGATTCTTGGAGGAGGCTCCAGGATTTTGGGAAGGGGCTCCAGGATTTGGGGTGACTCCAGCATTTTTGGAGGGGCTCTGAGATTTTTGGAGGAGGCTCCAGGATTTTGTGAGGTGCTGGGATTTATTCACCCCCTTTCCCTCTGCTCCTTCCCCGGCTCTAGGATTTCTTCAAGAAGTTCCTGTACGAGCCCCTGCCGGTGGAGTCGCACTTGGACCACTGCATGCACGATCACTTCAACGCCGAGATCGTCACCAAAACCATCGAGAACAAGCAGGACGCGGTGGATTATCTCACCTGGACCTTCCTCTACCGCAGGATGACCCAGAATCCCAACTACTACAACCTTCAAGGTTGAGCAGAGGTGTCCACGCTGGTTGGAGGACGTTGGGGGACCCTCTACCTGTGGGCTCTGCTTTCGCAGGAGGAGCTTTTCTCCATCCTGGGGGGTTCCTGAGCCCCGTCACAACCTCCTTGTCCCCCCAGGTGTGTCCCACCGGCATCTCTCGGATCACCTCTCGGAGCTGGTGGAGCAAACCCTGAGCGACCTGGAACAATCCAAGTGCATCAGCATCGAGGACGAGATGGACGTGGCTCCTCTCAACCTGGGGATGATCGCTGCCTACTACTACATCAACTACACCACCATCGGTGAGGGCTCCACGGGGGGGTTTCTGTGTCCCATCCCCTCTCTATGTCCTTCCCTTGGTGATGGAGAGAAGGTGTTGGGTGCTTGAAACTCTCTCCTTGAGCACGAGTGTGTCCAGAGAAGGACAACGGAGCTGGGGAGGGGTCTGGATGAGGGGATGGAGTGATGTCCTTCCTTGGGTAATGGAGAGAAGGTGCTGGGTGCTTGAAACTGTCCTTGAGCACGAGTGTGTCCAGAGAAGGACAACGGAGCTGGGGAGGGGTCTGGATGAGGGGATGGAGTGCACCCTCAGTCAGTTTGCAGATGACACCAAGTTGGGTGGGAGTGTCGACCTGCTGGAGGGTAGGAAGGCTTTGCAGAGGGATCTGGACAGGCTGGATGGATGGACTGAGGTCAATGGGATGAGGTTCAACAAGGCCAAGTGCTTGGATCCTGCCCTTGGATCCCACCAACCCCATGGATGCTCCAGGCTGGGGGCAGAGTGGCTGGAGCAGAAAAGGACCTGGGGGTGTTGGTTGACTGTTGGCTGAACATGAGCCAGCAGTGTGCCCAGGTGGCCAAGAAGGCCAACAGCATCCTGGCCTGCATCAGGAACAGTGTGGGGAGTAGGACTCAGGAGGTGATTGTCCCCCTGGACTGGGCACTGGGGAGGTTCCACCTTGAGGGCTGCATCTATTTTGGGGCCTCTTATCACAAAAAAGGCCTTGAGGGGCTGGAGCGGGTCCAGAGAAGGGCAAGGGAGCTGGTGAGGGGTCTGGAGCACAAGGAGAAGGGTCTGGAGAACTTCTGAAGGAGCTGGGGGTGTTGAACCTGGAGAAGAGGAGGCTGAGGGGAGACCTTCTGGCTCTCTCCAACTCCCTGAAAGGAGGGG